TAAAATTCTCATGGCTCAGCAGGGAAGAAAACCGAGGGAACATCCATGTGCAAGGGGAGCATTATCTTTTCAAAAGCCAAGAGGGCAAGAGTCCAAGTAGCTGAGAGTTGCAGGAGAGTCCTTGGAAATCTTTCTTGCTGATAGTCTGCCCTTCCAGACACTGGACCGATTGTTCAGTTTTCTGTGTCTTCTCACATGTAGTGCTGGAAATGAACAGTCTGAGTTTTTGTGTGTATGTGTGTGATTTAATTCAGGAAAGCAGGCTGCTGCATTTGGGCTGCGTCTTTGCTTTGTTTGCAAACCTGTCAAGAGGCACGTTCAAAATTAGAAACTCCATAGCTGGGCAAGACAAAAATACTGGTAGAGGGGTGGGATAGAAATAATAATAATAATAATAATAATAATAATAATAATAATTCTGCTGCAGATTTTGATGTTTTATAAAATCTCTCTCTCCCTCTTTAAGTGCCATGATGTGCTCCCCAGAGTTTGAGGGATACCAATGCCTGTTGGCCCCAGCCTTCAGAACCTGTGGTTGATGGGAGTTGCAGTCCAACACTAAAAATCATAATCTCCCCACATCAGTTCTAGGGGACTATGACTAAGGTCCAAAATACACTGTAGAAATAATCCCGTTTGAGACCACTTTAAGTGCCCTGACTCAATGCTAGGGAAACCTGGGAACTGTAGTTCTGTGCGACACTGAGCCTTCTCTGGTGCCACAATAAATTACAATCCCCAGGATTCCCCAGCACTGAGCCAGGGCAGTTAAAGTAGTCTCAAACTGGATAATTTCTGCAGTGTATTTTGGACCTTCATCAGAGGAATTTTAAATCTCTCTAGAGGCATTTCCAAATCTCTTTTTCATGTCTTGTTGGTCTCGACCAAGGGTCGGCAACGTTAGCTTACCTGGAGCCGGTCGCTGGTCCCCAAGTCTTCCGGGGGGCAGTGGGGGAAATGGCGGTGTGCATGCTTGTGCACGCTGCCGCTGCCGCACGCACACACTCCTGCCACTGCACCTCCATGTGTGTCACAGCCGCCATTTTGTTTGCAAAAACGGCAGCTGCGACTCGTTTGCGTATGCACAAATGAGTTGCGGCCGCCATTTTGGCAAACAAAATGGCGGCTGCGATGTGCAGAGGCACAGTGGCGGGAGTATGCTGCGGTGGCAGCAGGGGTTGGCGGGCCGGGTGCGGCCCGCGGGCTGTAAGTTGCCGACCCCTGGTCTTGATGCTGTCCAAAGGGAGCAAAGTGGCATGCAGTTGGTTTCTCTCTGTAAAACTGTTCCAAAAGAATGCAGATTTGAAGCTGTCAATTTGCTTTCAGTTAACTTCTGCATTTCACTTGGAAACTACAAATCTTTCAGCATAATCGCTTTGTTCTGTCCTGATTTGGGGATTAATCCAGTCCCTGGTTCTGTCTTCGTTTACTGCCAAGAAGGATTAGAGAGAAGCGTCACCAAGGAATACGCAATCTAAGTGATGAACCTGGGACTGAGGTTGCATTTCACATAGACGTAAGGGACTCATGGGAGCTGGTGTCTGGATGTTCGGGAAAAAAGATTGTTTACTGAATGGAAGGATGAGTCAGATTGGCTAATGACCCTGAAGTCTTTTGTTTCTGAGGCCATGTTACAAACTAGAGTGAAAGGAACTCAAATCTTGATATCAAGGAGCAGCACAACATACCTTTTGGCCACTGGAACTGATCCACAGAGAAAGAACACAAAGGTAAAAAAATAAGCAAGCCAGAGGTTTGGCTGTACACTTACTCTGCATCCACAATGGAGAAATAATCTGGTTACACATCACTTTAACAGCGCTGGCTCCGTACTATAGAATCCTGGGAATTGTAGTTTTGTTGTGGCACCAGAGCTCTCTGATAGAGAAAGCTAAATGTCTCACCAAACAATTCCCAGAATGTCATAGCACTGAGTCATGATGGTTAAAGTGGTGTCAAAGTAGATTATTTCTCCAGTGCGGATGAAGAGTAAGTGTGTAGCCGAACCTCTGGCTTACTTATTTTCTTTCTTGTATTCTTTCTCTGTGGATCATTTCCAGAAGTAGTTAAAGTTGTGTCAAACTAGATTATTTCTGCAGTGTGGATGCAGTCTTAGTCATATATGGTCCATTAAAATCAACAGTACTTGACTAATATGCCACTGATGGCGAACCTTTTAGGGACCAAGTGCCCAAACCCAGCGCTGGGTGTTACCCAGGGGTGGGACTTCCGGGGGGAACGGGATGTCTGGGGCAGGACTTCCGTCCTCGGAGGGTGGAAGACTTCCGCCTTCCAGAGGTGGGACTTCCAGGCAGAACTTCTCCCCACCACCCTCCTAGGCCTTCAGCTGCCTCTCCGGATGCAGCTTAAGGCCCAGGACAACTGGGAAGAGGAAGAACAGGCACATGCCTGTTCCTCCTCTTTCCCGCTCTCCATGTGCCCTGAAAAATGGTTTCGCGTGCCATCACTGGCACATGTGCTATAGGTTCGCCACCATGGTTATATGCTGTTGATTTCAGTGAGGTCCAAAACACACTGCAGAAATAATCCAGCTAGAGACTGCTTTAACTGCCCTGGCTCAATGCTCTAGAATGCTAGTAAATTCTGGGAACTGTAGTTTTGTGAGACATTTAGCCTTCCTTGTCAGAGAGCTCTTGGGCCACAATAAACTACAATTCCCAGGATTCCGTAGCACTGAGCCAGGGCAGTTAAAGGAGCCTCATACAGCCTTTCTGCAATGTGTTATGGACCTGAATGGTGCAGTTGTTAAATGCCTGTACTGCAGCCACTCACTCAAAGACCACAAG